ACAACGCTGCTGGCTTAACAAGAATATGAATTGTATCAGTCAGTTTGCCTTGATCGAACGATAGATTACATGGACAGGGAGGACCTGATCCCAGATCAGCACACCTACTCTGAGACACTTTATGAATATAGGCCAAGATTCTGCTCCCAAACTGGAGCTAACAGGAGAAAGGAGAATTATCCATCCAAAGCCCAGAGTGCGACAAGCAGCCAAACCAGCCATGAGAACACACAGTAGACACCTGCAGAATATCCTCCAACTAGGAGACTGCAAATCAGAATTAAAGAACAATTATTTCAATAATGGTAGAATATTCATAGAAATAGGATTTGGCTTAATATGGTCTTGGTAGATTGCATTGACGAGACATGCAGGTCTTTTGTATTCAATAATATATCACAATAAAGTGCCAGTGGAGACCGTGGAAGAACATGTCAGGGGCTGGGTGCAATCCAAATGGCCATATAGTGCACTACTTTTGACCAGGGCCCGTAGGGCACTATGTAGTGGATAGGGCGCCATTTGGTAGTCAGCTAGGGTGATAAAGCTGGCCTGACATCATCAAGTCCATTATCTAAAGGTTACTGGCCAACGCTCGGTGGTCCTGTGGCTCAAGAAAAACACTCATATTCTGTGGGTTCAGACGAGGACAATGGTTGGGCCTGTCCCTCACTCCCTCGCTCCCTCGTGCCCTCGCATGGCCGAGATGTCACAGAAAGCACCAAACAAGGGATGGAGGGGTAGAGAGCGACTCAGAGATGGAGGGGTGGAGAGAGAGGGAGCGATGGAAGAGAGCACATTGTTCCGGGTTGAGAAAAGGGGCATTGTGTGCAAGACAGATAGCCGTGGTGGGAGAAAGAGGAGGAGTCAAAAGGACAGAGAGAGGTGAAAACCGTTATTTGTCAAATGCCAAAAAAAATCCTAACTGTTTGAGATAATCCACAAGAGCATTTAGGGACTCTTGGAGCTCAGGAGGGAGGCTGTGCCTTTCAGCCAATATCTCAGCACTGTTACCCAGCCTTCCCACTATCTCTCTTGAACCACAGGGAATACAAGCTAGTGAAACAAATTCTCAATTTTATTTGATGTCTGTGAACTGAGCTGAGCAGTGATGTCATTTGATGTATCAGTTGCTTTTTCTTTATATCAGGGATGTAGACATGTAGCTACTCCATCAGGGATGTAGACATGTAGCTACTCCATCAGGGATGTGGACATGTAGCTACTCCATCAGGGATGTAGACATGGAGCTACTCCATCAGGGATGTAGACATGTAGCTACTCCATCAGGGATGTAGACATGTAGCTACTCCATCAGGGATGTAGACATGGAGCTACTCCATCAGGGATGTAGACATGTAGCTACTCCATCAGGGATTTAGACATGTATCTACTCCATCAGGGATGTAGACATGTAGCTACTCCATCAGGGATGTAGACATGGAGCTACTCCATCAGGGATGTAGACATGTAGCTACTCCATCAGGGATGTAGACATGGAGCTACTCCATCAGGGATGTAGACATGTAGCTACTCCATCAGGGATGTAGACATGGAGCTACTCCATCAGGGATGTAGACATGTAGCTACTCCATCAGGGATGTAGACATGGAGCTACTCCATCAGGGATGTAGACATGGAGCTACTCCATCAGGGATGTAGACATGTAGCTACTCCATCAGGGATGTAGACATGTAGCTACTCCATCAGGGATGTAGACATGTAGCTACTCCATCAGGGATGTAGACATGGAGCTACTCCATCAGGGATGTAGACATGTAGCTACTCCATCAGGGATGTAGACATGTAGCTACTCCATCAGGGATGTAGACATGGAGCTACTCCATCAGGGATGTAGACATGTAGCTACTCCATCAGGGATGTAGACATGTATCTACTCCATCAGGGATGTAGACATGTAGCTACTCCATCAGGGATGTAGACATGTAGCTACTCCATCAGGGATGTAGACATGGAGCTACTCCATCAGGGATGTAGACATGTAGCTACTCCTTCAGGGATGTAGACATGTAGCTACTCCATCAGGGATGTAGACATGTAGCTACATGTTCTGTTCTGAAAGAGCTGCAAAATCTGGACCCCTACAAATCATCTGGGCTTTTCTTTCTAAAACTAGACGCCGAAATTGTCGCAACCCCTATTACTAGCCTGATCAAATTCTCTTTCGTAACGTCTGAGATCCCCAGAGATTGGAAAGCTGCCGCGGTCATCCCCCTCTTCAAAGGGGGTGACACTCTAGATCCAAACTGTTACAGACCTATATCCATCCTGCCCTGCCTTTCGAATGTTTTTGAAAGCCAAGTTAACAAACAGATCACCGACCATTTCGAATCCCACCGTACCTTCTCGCTATGCAATCCGGTTTCCGAGCTGGTCATGGGTGCACCTCAGCCACGCTCAAGGTCCTAAACGATTTTATAACCGCGATCGATAATAGACAGTACTGTGCAGCCGTCTTCATCGACCTGGCCAAGGCTTTCGACTCTGTCAACCACCGCATTCTTATTGGCAGACTAAATAGCCTTGGTTTCTCAAATGACTGCCTCGCCTGGTTCACCAACTACTTCTCAGATAGAGTTCAATGTGTCAAATCGGAGGGCCTGTTGTCTGGACCTATGGCAGTCTCTATGGGGGTGCCACAGGGTTCAATTCAATGTCTACCCACCACTGTGACCTGTACGCTCTTGTTGGCTGGTCCTCACTACATATTCGTCGCCAAACCCACTGGCTCCAGGCCATCTATAAATCACTGCTAGGCAAATCCCCGCCTTATCTTAGCTCACTGGTCACCATAGCAACACCCACCCGTAGTATGCGCTCCAGCAGGTATATCTCACTGGTCATCCCCAAAGCCAACACCTCCTTTGGCCGCCATTCCTTCCAGTTCTCTGCTGCCAATGACTGGAACGAATTGCAAAAATCTCTGAAGCTGGAGACTCTTATCTCCCTCACTAACTTTAAGCATCAGTT